GGAAAGATGGCCCCGACAGCTTCTTCGCCCGAGGCGAAGTTGGTGGCGACGTCAAGGAGCGCGGCCACCGAAGTTGGTACGTTCCGGCCTAACTCTCGGACCAGGTCTCGGCAGGAGGTGACGGAGAGAAAAGCCTGGACAACTTCCGAGTCACCGACGCTGGGCAACTCGGTGCGCTGCTTGGAAAAGCGCTGGATGAAGTCTCGAAGAGACTCGTCTGGCTTCTGGCGACAACTCTTGAGGTCCCAGGAGTTCCCAGGGCGCACGTATGTGCCCTAGAAATTCTCGACGAAGACCTTGACCAAGTCACGCCAGTTGTGAATTTGTGAGGTAGGGAGGTGTTCGAGCCAGGCTCGCGCCGAGTCTGACAGGAACAAAGGGAGGTTACGGATGATGAGCAGGTCATCGCTCGCACCACCTAGCTGACAAGCCAGGCGGTAGTCGGCCAGCCACAGCTCGGGGTTGGTCTCGCCACTATACTTTGTGAGATTGGCCGGTTGCCGGAACCGGGCAGGGAATGGAGCGCCGCGGATGGCCTTGCTGAAGACTCTAGGGCCAGGCGGCCCAGGAGAAGGACTGCGGTCCTCCCCGCTGTCATAGCGGCCACCTCGGTGTGGGTGGTAACCTCGGGCGAGCCCGTCGTTGTCGTGGCGTCGTCGCCTGCTGACCATGTCGTGGTCCTCTTGCGCCTCGCGTCGGTCGCTGAGGCGGTCGTGGACTGAGGGGACCTTGAGGCGATCGTGCACCGAGGGCCGCTTCGAGATGTTCTCACGTCGCCGAGACGCGGAGCTCTCGGCCTGCTGTATTGCGGCAGTCTCGAGAAGGTCTCAGAGCTCGCCGCGGACCCGTCGCCCCTCCGTGGTAGAGGGCTCGGGCATCGCTCGCACTAGCATCGCCACCGCCGCGACGTTCTGGCTAGCACGATTGAAGATTGGGGGTTGCTCACTTCCTTCGTCGTTGTTGATGCAGCGGTGCATGTCGTGGGCCCTCTGCCGGGCCCCTCCGCCGTCACCACGGCCTTGCTGCTCCTGCTCGAGAGTGTCTCGGAGCTGCTGCAGCAGGAGTCGATCTTGGTTGACTTTTGCCTGGAGCTCACGGAGTTGCTCCAGGTCTAGGCGTCGGGTATCCCCGGGGGCGATGTTCACGTTCCGCGCCGCCCGGAACTCGACGAGCGGGGGTGTGGCGTCACCCGCCCCTTGGCGGAGTGGGGACCGATTGCCTACCCTCTCCCCCTCGTCACTTGCCCCTGGCATTCCGAGCCCGACGTGGAAACACTCTCGAGTAGGTTCGTAAGTGCTTTCGTCATCGGAGTCAGAGTGGTCGAAGCAGTAGTCGCTTGCGACCAAGAAGCGACGCATAGCCTCGGGGTCATGAAGCACGGAGAAGTCCGCTCCAGCCCATGCCTCGTCCTCCTCTGAGGAGTCAGTGTGGGTGTGGGTCAAGATTGTGGTGGAGAAGTCGAGGGCGAATCGTTGGTGGTGTCCCGAGAGCTCCACGTGCGCGGAGGCGTAAGCGAAAGCGTAGGCGGCGGCGATGTTTTTCAGCCCAAAGAGGTACGGGGATGGTGCCACCGCTGGGCTCCGCTCCGCCTGAGTCGATTCCCCCAGAAGCGACGGGGCAGAGCTTGACGACGGGACATCGTTGCGCGCTACCGGCGTCCTTCCCCTGCCCATGCTTAGGCAAGATAGGTACCCAGCCAGGGACTCTGTACCAACAGCCGGGCATGGGATGTCAGCAGAGTGCGGCGCGTAGCCCTGAGTTCGCGTGGTGTCAGAGTAGTCTCGCTTGCGTCGTGCCTGGCGAGCATGACGAGAGCGGCAGCCCAGGCGCCGCCTGCGCCCGTGCTGCCGATGCGCAACGTCGTCGCCGGCCGGTGGGGCTCTGGGTGTTAGGAGTACCATATCGTACTCACATCCTAGAGACATGAACTCTAGGCTCCCAAACCAGACCACCGTGCTGAGACGTAGTGGGCGTATGGGGTCAGCCATTCGGAACTTGTTGGGACGATCACGCTAACACGCAGAGGCCCCTACCTGGCGCGCCAACTGTCGGCGTTTCGGACCGAGGGGTCCTCAACCAACCAGTAAATGTGAACTATGTGCCCCTAATCCCGGATGGTGATGGAAAGAGACACAAGGTTTATACTGGTTCAGGCAATCGGCGCTCTACGTCCAGTCTAGGAGATCGATCTTGTATTCTCTGCACCGAAGTGCTTGTAGTAGGGGGTTACAAGCTGGGTGAGAGAGGGAGCTAGTGCTAGGTCTCGGCGTGGAATGGTGCAGGCTGCTTGAGTCGTTGCTCTCAGGCAGCGTGGGAGCGCGCGTGAATTGAGTGAGTGCGTTTTTGCGTGAGGGCTGGCGTGGTTTCGATCCCTAGAAACGGCCCTGACTGCTTCCTTTTATAGCCACAAGGAGGGGGCCAGGAGTACATGAGAGAGCTACACGTGGAGCCTTAGCGAGAAAGGAAGATCCAGTACTGTGGCCTATTCCTGTAGCAGCACAGTGTCGGGAATGGCAATTGGTACTTGATCACCGGTGCATCACACAGGCCATGCCCGAGGTTGTTGAAGTCGTAAGAGTCCTTGTTGACGTCTAGTCAGTATGGCCTCCACTGTAGGTGACATGCCGTGCCTGGTGGACTCTTGTCCTGGTGGAGTGCCGAGGCATAGCGGGTGCTAGAGCTGATCGTGCCGAGGCCTTCTTTGCCGAGGCCTCGGAGGTGACCTATGTACGACACGGGGTCTCGGTGGTCTGTGTCGTACCCGATTCCAGTGAAAAGGTGCGGAATGGGCGTCCGCAGGGAGCTATAGTCTCTGCACCATCAGTAGGGGATGGTAAAAAGGTGATTTGACCGCCGTCCCATCGCCCCTTTTGCCATACCCTGCCAATCGTGGCTGACGTAGGCATAACTAGGGGTACTTACACGGATGGGACGGCCCGCCAGAGGGGCAATTGAGGCGGAGGCGACGAGAATGCAGGACGAGCCCGGCCTCGGCCGAGGCGGAGAAGGAATGGCGCGTCCGAGGCCTTGCCGGGGGGTCTCGGACGAGGCAGAGACCGAGCAGCTGGGCTCTCCTGCTATTTCCGAGGCTACAGGGACATGGACTCAACCTTCCATGCCGCTTTGTCCTTGGCGCAGGGGTTAGGTAGCACAGGGCAGTATAAGTGTCAGGAGGGAGCACAGTGGTGAGTATAGTGGCAGGTAACCCCTGCTGTGCCCGGTCCCTATCCTGTCAGTTGTTCTGCCCACACTGTACCTGCGTGCGGCTGACGTTTGCGGGAGTGGTTGGGTGCATTTAATCTGGACGTGATGTTTTGCCAGAGGAGTTCGGTCGGGACAGAGGTTACGAGTACGTTCGCCGAGGCCGGCCTCGAGCGAATCGGAGAATTGGAGATCCGTCCGAGGCCTTTCGGGGCGAGGCCTTGGCGAGAGGGTCTCGGCGAGAGGGCCTCGGCAGGACATTTTAGGCCTATTTCACATGAGGCCTCAGCGCAAGGCCTCGGGCGAATCGGAGAATTCTGCTGAGACCTTGCAGTAGTCTTTTGGCTTTGGTTTTAGTAAGGCTTAAGCAATATTCTTGGATCTTGCTTAGGGTACCCCTTCTTGTGGTATCCGACAATCGCGAAAACAACAAATTGGCTGCAACACACTGCCAACACTTGCTTTTGCTGAGTACCATTATGAAATCGCGAATGTTTGCCAGTGGACACCGCCTCCATTAAAATAAGAAAAACAACAATCGGGAGAGAGAAAGCACAGTAAAGAGACGTTTTTACCCCTGCCGGCCTGAGTCCTATCATTTAGGTGGTCCGGTTGGACCAGCTAGGCTCAGCCCCGGTCGTCTTCTTCCTTCCCCCGTTCTCATTTTCGTTAGTCTCTCTCCCCATCCTCATTCCCCATCTCGACGAACCCTAGCTTCGAGCCATGGCATCGAGCTCGCATTCCACACCGTTCGGCGCGCCGCACCTAGCTTCACCGTCGCTCGACCCCTACAGAGACCAAGCTGGATTCTTGCCCTTGGTTCCTTGCCACAAGTGCGGAACCGTTTTCATCGGGCGCATGTCGCAGAAGCCTGGCAGCAAGGGGAAGAGTTTTACAAGTGTCCACTGCTTGAGCATGTAAGTGGTCGTTGACTTCTGATCTGGTTTTGAGGAGATGCGCATTTTTTTTATTTTTCATCTCTTGTTTGCTAGACCGACTTTGCGTGTGGAGTGTACTACTTTGAGGAACAGTATATCAATTACTTGGTCGCCAAAGGCGTTCTTCCTCGCGCTTGTAGTCAGGTTCGAGTTCAGGGTGCCATGGCGCTCGAGGTGATGAGGGAAGGCAATGACAAGGAGAAGGCCTGCCAAGGATTTGATGGCTGCCAAGATCTATTGGAGACTGCAGTGATTCATCTCCAAGGTTCAGAGGCACTACTAAAGTCAGTACTTGAGAGCAACAAGAAATTGTTGACCAACATGAATAAAATTGGAGAGCGGCTGCTTGTAGTTGGTGGTGTAATGGTTTTCATTTTGGTGTTAGTTCTGTTAGTGTTGTTGGTCAAGTGAAGCAGAATAGCAGGTTGTCATGTATCCTGGTTATCATGTATCTAGTTAGTGTTGTTGGTCAAGGTCATGAACATGTATCCAGTTAGTGTTGTTGGTCATGAACATGTATCCAGCTTATCTGTACCAGGTCCATCATCAATGATGCATCTTAACTATGTTGTAAGAAAATGGTCTGCCAAATTGTATCTGAGTTCATGAATGATGGGGCAAGAAAATGGTGTGCCAAATTGTTGCAAAAACATGCATCCAGGTTTAATTTGATCATTTCACACAACGAAGTCTGCCAACTGAGTTCATGATTGAGATTGCATAACTGAGTTCACAGGTTCATCACACTACATAACATGTTTAGCACACTACATAACAAGTTCATAGGTCCATCATCACCACCAAATAAGTTCACTACATAACAGGTTCACCACAAAATAGATCCATTACATAAGACATGCATCACAGGTCCAGGATGAGCTTCTTCTTGCTAATCCTCTTGCCGGCATTGCTTGCCTCCTTTTCCCCAGCATGCATTTCTTCTCCAGTAGCCTTGGTGGTCACCACCTTTTTCTTCTTCTTCTTTTGATGCTGCACTTCTATTATTGGGGAGGAAATTTCACCACCTAGCTCCAATGCCCTCTTGCGGCTGTAGTCATACCCAACATTAGAAAGATAAATAACAGTATGTTGTAATAGATAATAGGCATCAAGTCTTTACACTTACCTCCTAGTGTTTGCTGCGGAGCTGTTTGTTAGAGCTGGTGGTGCAATGTTTGGTGGGCTGTTTGTCAGAGCAGGACAGACAGTTGTTTCTTAAGCACCTTCAATCTGTGACTGCTGGGTAGAGATAGTTGTTGTGGCAGTGCTTTTCTTTTTCTTTGCTCTCTTGGGCTTTGGTGGTGCTGGTGGTGGTGTATCAGAGTCATAAACAGTTTCATTACAAGTCTTCATCATGTGACCAAACCCGCCACACCTCTTGCACTGGCGCTGGCTTTTTTGCTTGCCACCTTCTTCAGAACCTTTTATCCTTCTTGATCTAGGCCGACCTGCAGCTCTCTTGAACCTTGGAGGCCAAAGTTTGAAACCCATGTCCACATCAGGCCACTGGTTCCTATCTATCATGGGACTTATCACATGTTCATATGCTTTCTTGAACTTATCAACCGAATAATAGTCATCTATGTAGTCTTCCACACTTCTGTTGCGCATGGAATGGATGAAGCAGAGAGCATGAGTACATGGCAATCCAGTAATCTACCACCTTTGACAGCTGCATGATCTATTATCAAGGTCGACAGTATGCCTCCAGGTTTTCAATTCCTTTGTAGTGCCTTGAATCTCAGCAGCGTTGTTGGGCCCCCTATGTATGGCATACTGTAAATTCCTACTCATGGCATGCAGCTCTTTGGTGACATGAGGCAAGATCTTGTCTCTCAGCTTAAGTGACAGTGACCTCCTAAGGTCTTGTTTCTCCATGATCATTTGCCTGATCCTATCCAACAGAGGAATTAAAGCCAAGGACTTCTCATTCCTAATCCAATTGTTGAAGGTCTCTGCTATGTTGTTAGTAACATAGTCACATTTGCTTGCATGAGAGAACTTCCATCTACTCTATATGTGCTTGTGGTTGTCCTCTATCCAGTTCATTGCCCTTGGTGAAGCTTGTTTCATGATGTTGTAATGGTGATCAAAGTGCCTCTGGTTGTAAGCTCTGCTTGCTGGCCACAAATGTTTTTTGAACACTACTCCTCTATACCTCTTGTTAAAATTCTTCGCTAGATGCCTCATGCACTCTCTATGCTCTACTCCATTTGGGAAAACATATGTAACTCCCTTATCTATTCCTTTGCCTGCATCTGTGCATATGACCAGGCCTGGAGGAGTCCTAATTGCCACTTTAAGTTTCTCAAAAAACCATTTCCAATTTTCAGCAGTTTCAGACTCAAAGACACCATATGCCACTGGAAAAAGCTAGTTGTGTCCATCCACAGCTGAAGCAGAAGCTAACTGCCCTCTCCACCTCCCAGTCAAAACTGTTGAGTCAACACCAAAGAAGGATCTGCATCCATTCAAAAAAACCTTGAACACAGCTCTTAAATGCAACAAACATCCTTGTGAACCTCCTCTTATTACCAGCCAGTATCCACTCAATGTTCACAATGCTACCAGGATTTGTCCTGTCCACCTCAGCCTTGAATCTAAAAACATCTTCAAAGTTGTCATCCCATTTTCCTTGAATTTGCTCTAGAGCCATTTGCAGTCCATCCCAGACAACATAGTATGAAAGTTGGATGTTGTACTTGTTCTGCAAATCCTTCCTCAGTTTACCAGCTTGAATTGTTGGTTCATCCTTCAGGATGGTAATGGCCCTGTCCCTCACCCAGGCATTGGTAGCCATGCAGTTCTTCTCCAGTTGGGATGTGCTGGCACAAGTATGTTTTTCCAACTTCTTTATCTGACAAATAAAAGGAAGGCAAAGCATCAAACACATGTTGGGAAAAATAAGAACCAAAATGTAAGGAAATTTGAAAAAGAAATAAACTGACATGCCAAGTCTTGCCATCTTGCAATTGAGAAGCATGTATCCTCCACTTGCACCTCTTCTTCTTGCTCTTGAATCCTTTGCAGTGCCCTTTATACCTTTTGGATTCACTGTAAGGAGCTGTAATTTCAAACTCTTTTAGCACAACATATTATCTAATAGCCCTCTTAAAGGTGTCCCCATCCTCAAATGTGACACCACATTCTATAGTTGGGTTTTCTAAGTTAGTAACATGCTCATTGATCTCACAACCAGCATCATCATCAACATATAAATCATCATGAACAAGAGAGTCACAGTCAGTATCCCCCTCTGATGCTTGTTGATCTTGCTATTTTGGCATATAATGACCCTCATCATTGACCCCAACATACTCCTCAACATCTTCTTTCCATGAAACATCATCATCAGCATGCTTCTTCTTGCTTCTTCCTTGAGCAGGTGTGGATTTCTCAGTTGAGTCATCAGAGTTAGAAGAGTGAACACTGTCATCATCACTTTCTCCCCCACTAAGTGACTCCACATCGGCCTCACCTCCACCAGGCCCAACAGTTTCAACAATCTGATTGTTCTGCCCATCATCATGACCAAGCAGAGGGGGCAGCAATGGGAGAGCAACAGATGCACTGGCCTCATTATCCAAAGACACACTCTGACTATATGCAATAGGAATCATGTCATAAAAATTCACAAACAAAGGTAGCCACCTTAGGTGCCAATAATTGTTAGTAGCATCCATCAAAGCTGCATCTGAGGTCAGATTGGTATAGCATTGGGTGTTCTTGTTGAAATATGTCAAATTGAAGCCCTGATTCTTCCCAATAGACACTTTGGCAGCTACATCCTTACTTAAATCAATCAGATTCAGAGTGTCCCTATCAATAATGAGCTGAAAATCTGCTGCATTGTGAGCCACATTTCTACCGTCATCGCAAGCCTCATAGTAACATGGGACACGCACTGCTATGCGTAATGCAGAACTACTGTCCATCCTAAAACATGGACAAGAACAAGAAATCATGAAAACACTAGCTTCGGATGTGCAAATCGACCCCCAAGTTCACTGCAACCCTGTTAACCAACCCCAGATCGAAAAGTGGAAGAGGATAAGAGTGCATACCCCTTAGGAACCCATAACAGATTCACTCCCTTGGACGGTGAATCTATGCTCGGACGGAGCCGCTTCGATTTCGCCGACGAAGCCATCTTCATGCATCCATGGCACGCCGACTGTGGGGAAGAGACGGTGGTGTGGGCGGCAGGAGACGGCGGCGTGGTTGGCTGGAGACGGCGGCGCTGCGGGAGACTAGAGACGGCGGCATGGGTGGCTAGAGACGGCGGCGCTGCGGGAGACTGGAGACGCCGCCGGCTAGGGTTGGATAGAGCACAGGGTCTGGTTCGACCAAGTAGTGGTCCGGCTCGACCAACAGGGTCTGGTTCGACCAAGGGGCAACGCTGGTCATTTTGGAATGTTTCTCTCTCCCGATTGCTGTTTTTCTTATTTTAATGGAGGCTGTGTCCACTGGCAAACATTCGTGATTTCATAATGGTACTCAGCAAAAGCAAGTGTTGGCGGTGTGTTGCAGCCAATTTGTTGTTTTCGCGATGTCCCACAGCAAAAATTGCCTATAATATATGTATATATATATAAATATAACCATATGCAATGATGAATGCAGTCATACAGAAGTAATAAGGGGAAAGTTACTTGAGGCAACACTATTAAGATGGAATGTCCAGGTTTAAGGCCTCAGGCCCACATGTCATCCTCATCATGTCATGGATGTAGGTTTTCTTTAGCACTATATAGTCGTTTGATAGTAGGATATATTATATATGAAAAAGTAAAATAAATGATTGATGTATGTAACCCTCTCTTAATCGTATGAAAATAATGAGATTAGTATATTTGGACAACTTCTCAATGCGCTTGATATTTCAAGACAGAGAGTACTCCGCCAACTTTTTTTTTTCCGAGGATTAATTTATACTAACAATAACACAAACAATATATTTATATTTGTATGCCAAATTAGAGGAGATTCCACATCAGGGTTTCCTCTGTAAAATAACAACAAAATCCTACTGCCAGCTTATCATATATATAGCTTATTCGCTTGTTCATTGAACTCGGAACGAACATGAACTAGTACAGTGTACCTGCTGTTATATATTCATTGGAGGTGTCTTTATATATAGTACATATATTACCCTTTCTGGTGCCTTTTCACTTACTACATTGTACTTATATAGGAGTACGTATACTATCTGTGCTCAAGGACGAGTTCATTGTATCTGCCCATCTGTTATGCTGCTAGCTAGGCAGTTGTTACGCATGCAGCTCCATCTATTGGCGGCATGGAGATGCATTTCTTCTTCTTCAAACTCAGGCCTCGTTCACTTTGCAAAAAAAGTGAATCCAATGAATAGTACCATTTTCGTCTTATTTGGCAAATATTGTCCAATCATGGATCAACTAAGCTCAAAAATTTATCTCGTGATTTCTAACTAAATTATGTAATTAGTTAATTTTTTACCTACATTTAATACTCCATGCAAGCGGCTAAAAATTGATATGATGGAAAGAAAGTAAAAAAACTTAGAATTTGAATGGCATCTAAACAAGGCGTCACTCGATCAAATCTCATTGGACTGGTAGTGCATGTGCATATATCGATATGATTCTCTCTCCAGATGATCGATCGCCGCCGAAGCGGTTAGATATACGTGTGCCTAGATTGCAGTGCTGCTGGCTTCCTAATTGGTTCCAGGAATGCACATATGAAGCTGCTTTCAACGGCCTCTCTATATTTCAACTGTACGTAATCTGCCGTAAATTTAATTTTAATCTGCATCTCGCGTGTGCTTGCATGTGAACAACCTAGCTAGCTTGCAAAAGATTCCCTCAGGTGATCATGCCGACTGCTCGTAGTATATTCCATTATAAACTCATAGAGCTTGTTTCTTTAGTTAGGTGATGCACTGATTACCTTTTGGATCTGGATCGGTTAATAACTGTTTTATTTCAACAGCTGACAACTATGCTGGACCATTGAGATCGGATGCTGATCACATCAATGATTTTCAAATAACTGAGGTTTTGGATACAGGTACAAATATCTCTGGCATGCGATTTCCCAATCACTATCTTTCATATTTCAATGTTGTACTAGTATTTGCCCAAAAATGTGAAAAAATATATAGTAAAAAAAGGTATTTCTAGCGACAGCATATATAGCTATGTGTACCGACAAGGACAAGCTAAGGCCGGAACACTTATCCAAGACCAAGAGCTACTCCAAAATACTCCAAATGACCAAATCCAAATAAAAAAAGGACCACCCAAGTATGAGTATGCCAAGTAAAGTAAATTAATTAATTAAAACAGTATTCTGACAGAATGCCGCCTGTATAAGCACCGACGCGGAGGCAGTTGGACATCTTCAGCACATCCACGCACTTGTTGTCCGCCGGATCGTACATCCGCAGCAGTCCCTGCCGGCCTTCCTCCATCGACGAGTATGATCCCCACACCCACACGGCTACC